TTCATGGATTTACTCATATAGAAACGTACATACATAAAATAAAATACACTGGGGGCTGGGAAGGTGGCTCAGTGGTAGAGTGCTTGCCTTGCATGCATGAGGCCCACATAAGCAGAAAAAGCCAGTAGTGGAGCTGTGGCTCAAGTGGTAGAGAGCTCGCCTTGAGCTGAAGAGCTGAGGGACAGCGCCCAGGCCCAGAGTTCAGGCCCCACAACTGACAAAAAAATAAATAAATAAAAAATAAAATACACTGTAGTTTTTAGCAGCAGAAGAGAGGCAACTTCACTGTGCACATCAGAGGACTAGTTTAATAACCAGCCTGTTTCCTAGAGGAGGCAAAAGCAGAGGATGAAAGTTTTTGGAGTGACCCAGATAACTGGGGACAGGAAGGCCACTAAGCAAAAACACTTGGGGACACAGAAGTGATCGGAGCTGCCCTGGGAGGGCCAGGTGTATACTGGGCAGGAGCAGTAGGGCCATCTCAATAAGTGAAATATATCACCTGTGCTAAAAGTAAAAATAAATATCTATTCACACTTAATCATATACGCATAACAAATAGCTGCTCAAGTATCTTCCAAACTATTTACATGATCATTGGTCAGTACAAGTCTCAAGAAGCATGGAGCCGGGTCAGAGATTTTTCATTGCTCATATTTACACCTGTGGACATATAAGTGAGTTATGCAGTCAAAATTAGGTAAATTGAAAAATAAAGTGGATAAATATAGTCTATTAACCTTTTCTATTATGGAAGTTTCCTATAATAAAAAGCCTTCCTACAGTTTTTCCAGACAAGTTCTAAGAAGGGAATGCCATATGTTGACACAGCTTTCAGCACACATCCTAGCACCTGCATCGAGTGCAAAAGGAGCGCCGGTGGCTCACGCCTGTAATCCTAGCTACTCAGGAGGCTGAGATCTGAGGATCGCAGTTCAAAGCCAGCCCAGCCAGTCCATGAGACTCTTATCTCCAATAAACCACTAGAAAACTGGAAGTGGTGCTGTGGCTCAAGAGGTAGAGTACTGGCCTTGAGCTGAAAGGCGCAGGGACAGCGCCCAAGCCCAGAGTTCAAGCCCCACGACCGACAACAACAACAAAAAAAGTCTAAGCCTAGGTAGTGGTAAGAGTCACATGTCCCAAGGACAAGGTTCTGTTTAAGAAGGTTCTTGGTGTGTAGACAGAGCCAGCATTGGCATGCAACAGAGCTATAAACACCCACAACCTCTGTGAGGAAGGAGAATCCATAAGAGACATTTGCTTGTCATTCAATGATGCCCAATAAGGCCTCTGTCTGCAACATATAACATATTCCACTCAAAAGAGAGCCAATAAAAGAGAGTAGGGAGGGAATCTGGGTTCAAGACACCATTCCACCACCATCTTACAGGAGAGTTTGCTGATCTGCAAGATGAGAGACCCAAAAAAATCTCCACCATTCATTCAATTTCCAGAAGCACTTAGATTGTACAATTCAATGAAATATCAGTTTTACAACCACCCTGATTTGAAGCAAGCAGAGACATACATGCTATGAACTCAAAGTTTCTCATCTCTACTACTCTCGACAGTACACTGAGGAAAGGGAAGGGAAGTCATGATCTTCCTAAATAGTGGAGAGTACATTAAGTGAAGAACAGCGTGAAGAAAGGAGAGCCACATTTTACTGAGGCAGAGTAAAAGCCTCATACTGAGAAAATTTTTAGATTTGCCAGCAAAATGATTTTTAATTTTTTAAATTCCTAGTTTAAAAAATATTTTTAAGTTATTATAACAAAGAGGTTTCAATTCAGCCTGTCAATTTATGGGCACAATGCAGCTTGATCGTCACCCCTTAACTCTGCCCCATCTATCTCGACCCTGTCCAAAAAGTTTGTTTTTTTTTTTTTGGTAATGCTGCACGTGAAAGAAGAAATTTTTAGCCAGGTGCTGGTGGCTTACCTCTGAAATCTTTGCTACTCAGGAGGCTGAGATCGTTAGTTCTTAGTTCAAAGCTATCTTGAACAAATAAATTTCAGAGATTCTTATCTCTGATTAACCAGAAAAAAGTTGGAACTGGAGGTGTTGCTCAAGAGGTAGAGCACCAGCTTTGAGAATTAAATCTGAGACAAAGCTCGAGGTCCTGAATTCAAACCACAGTACTGGTGTGTACACACACACTCATGACACACACACAAAAGAAATTTTCTGCTTTCCCTTGAAGATCATAGTACACTGTGCACACAATCATTTGTCCTCCATTACACTTTAGAGGATCCGTGAGAAAACACTAAGGGGGCAAAGTTCTGATGTGCCAGCATCAAGCTCCAACCACAGAAATGAGGACAGGACTCAATAGCAATGCTTCCTCCTACAACCCTAAGCCTCATATCCTGCCCTAAAACAGGGCTGCCCACACCAGAACCAATTGTGACTGATCTGTTGGGGTGCTACAGTCATGGCTATTATCATGATTATATCTGATAGTTGCCACAGACAAAACCCAAAAATAAATTCTGCTGACAAGCAGCTATGACAGGTACATTTAAGGAACAACTGGAATGGAGCCAGTCCAAAAAGAAAGTGCAACTCTGAGGAAAAGCCCTTAGGCCAGAAAAACCCAAGAGACACAAAATAAACTTATTTATAAGTTTTAAGTGAGGCATGACTAAAAGCCTTAGATCACTAAGAAACTGACAGACCATGGATTTTTTAAAGAACCTGGCAGTATTATAAAAATGACATGGAAAAAAATACAATTGAAAGAAAGAAAAAGGAAATGTCCCACCATGTATGAGACAAAGGTTTTCACAAGCAGGACACAAGTGTGTTATGTCAGTGATGTCACAGAATGCCAACACAAAGAGGGATTTGTGGCAGATGTGAGAAGCCCCTTCCTTCCCTCTAGTGATACAGAGGTCTGCTCTGAGTGATCCTTCTCAAAGCAGGAAGAAGCACTGGCTCCTGGGTAGGCTCCCATTGACTGAAACCTGTATGTGTGGCCAGCCCTTGTGAGATGGGCTAAAGTCACTAAAATGTGTACTGCTAGCACTGGATACACACACATACTACATTGCCACTACCTGGAATCATCTCACACATCATGTGCTCTGTGCTCTGTCCCAGCATCTGCCCTGTGATTACCACCTGGGCTGTGTGCTCAAAAAATGTCCAGGCCAGGCACTGCTAGCTTATGCCTGCAAGCCTAGCTACTCAAAAGGCTGGAATCTGAGGATCACAGTTCAAAGCCAGCCCAGGCAAGGAAGTCTGAGAGACTCTTATCTCCAATTAACCACCAGAAAACTGAAGTGGTGCTGTGGCTCAAGTGGCAGAGCATTCGCCTTGAGCTGAGAGCTCAGGGGCAGCACCCAAGCCCCACAAGTCCAGTGTAGAACAAGCCAGATCCACAGTAACTACTGGTGAGAGCAGGGGCACATTATCCCAGAGGACCTAACTATTGCATTTGAACTTCAGACAAAATAGTCTGCTGTTGTTCTGAAATGCAGGGCAGCACCCCTATATGCTTAAAGAGCAGATTATAGCTTCAACCCCAATAACCCTAGTACACCCAGGACCAGTGTCCTAGGGGGCTGTTGGGTTGTTACGGAAGGTACAACAAGGCAATCCTACTAGAAAATGAAATGGAAATCAGCACCTGACCCAGCTGGGTAAACAGCTCAGGGAAGGTAACAGCATCCACTCCTGACATTCAAAACGCATGGGAAATAGTTACAAAGCTAAAATTCTGTGTAGATGATGCCTAGTGATTCATTCTTACTTTGATTCCTAAGGTTACACTGAACTCCAAGGGTCAACAACTCTGGAAAAACATATATTGTAATGGAGTGAGGAGAATTGTATGGATGGCTGCTTCTTGCCAAAGCTGAGCCAATCACAATTCATTGATCCACCGCTGGTACCATAGCTATGGTACCACACAGGTTGGCTCAGGGTTCCCACCTTTGCCCCATGAATGGCAGGTGAGCACATACTATCTTTTAGGACACAAAATAAACTATATACAGTTAACACTGGCTGTCTCTCCTTATTTGAAGTAGCTGTTTTCTTAGGTCAGCTTCACCCAGATGCCTCACATACTGCAGGTATAAAGCAGGCCTGCCTGTTCCATGCAGCAAGGGTGGAGGGCTAGAGGGGTTCATTCCAGCCGAGACTGAATAAACAGCTCTTTCCCTGAAAGATTAAATTCTACAATAACTCACTAGATGGAGGTTTCATAAATCAACCTAAGTTATGAATGCCACCTCTTCACTTGCCACAGCCTCCCCTCTCAGAAGAGCCTGTGGGGCACAGGCCAGGATATCCTATCCTCTAGGTCACTGTGGCCTGGTTTCTTCATTTTTCCCTCAGGACTAGCCCAGGTTACAATAGATCACCCACAATCTTAGATGATTTAAAGTAAGGTATGGACATGTTCATGGCGAAAGAAAAAGAAAGAAAGAGAGAGAGAGAGAAAGAAAGAAAGAAAGAAAGAAAGAAAGAAAGAAAGAAAGAAAGAAAGAAAGAAAGAAAGAAAGAGGGAGGGAGGGAGGGAGGGAGGGAAGGAAGGGAGGGAAGGAAGGAAGGAAGGAAGTAAGTAAGTAAGTAAGTAAGTCGGAAGGAAGGAAGGAAGGAAGGAAGGAAGGAAGGAAGGAAGGAAGGAAGGAAGGGAGGAAAGACAACAGTAGTTTTGTGTTTGTCAATGGTTGGAAAAAAGACCCTACTACAACACCTGCACTTTCAAAAGTGGAACAAGCCCTCCGTGAGCACCTGAAACGAGAGGCCCAGTCACTGAGCCCTGGTGGGGACAAGGTAACGTCATTAGCCCTGGCTGGGATAGGATGCTCTCTAGGGTCTCTGAGCCCTGAAGACCATCTGAAAGCAGCTCAGAATGCAGAAGAGAAGCCAAGGACAACCAGGCACCCTCTCCTGGGACAGGAGCTTATCCCAACCCTCCTGCAAGAATGCTGACTCCATCTCAAGATCCAAGATGGGAGGAATGCAGCCCCCACCCCGCCTGTTACCTGTTTTCCCTTCACCACATGCTTGGGCACCGGCACTCTGACCTCCAGGTCAGTGTAGTCCTGCGACCAAGTGTAGTTCTCACGAACAGCACCGTTGTAACTGTCAGGATTTCTCTGGAACTGCTCCTGAACCCTGAGAAAGACAAGAGTAGTGAGATGCAGACCGGCAAATGCAAGCATAGGAGCCCTGGGTAGCCTGGCATGGGCCAACCCTATGTCCTGAGGAGTGACCAGTTTGGGCTTCACCTCAAGCTAACTGACTTTTACATATGGGGGGGGGGGGTGAGGAGGGAAAGAACCAAACGAAATCCTCTTTGGGGACAATTTCCTAATAACACTTTCAGGCAATCAGAGGATAAGGGAAAAGCAACAGAGAAGAAACCTGGGTGCAGAATCCTCACGCTTAGGGAAAGTATCTACAACTATCATCAAAGCATAGCCTGGTCTTGCTGGTTGCCACAGTAATCAGATATGCCTATTAACTAGGCACATACCCCAGTTAATAAAAATCCTTGCTTCATGGGTGTTTTGTGCCTATCTTTGCTGCTTGGCAGAGTACATGCATATGCGCGCGCGCGCGCACGCACGAGCACGCACACACGAGCGCGCACACACACACACTTTTTTTTTTAAGGTAAATCAAGTTCATCCTACAACTGCTAAACTTCAGTCCTAATCCAGCCCTGAGTTCTTCTAATAAGTAAATCAAAGCCAAAGGGACTCTACTCAAACTATATGCAGCAACAGTAAGATGTAAGCAATACATTTAATGAGATGGCCTAAAAACCTCAGTCAACCAAATCCTATTGTTATACATTCATTATAAACACAGCACAGATGCAAATAGGCCTAGCCCAGATGCTGGTTGTGAAAATAAAAGACAGTATTTGTCATAAAAATCTAACAATATTACTCATATAAATACTTTTGAAAATGAGCTTAGATTCACAAGTCCATGGGTGAGTTGAGGATTTAAATCATAGATAAAAGCCTTCTCATGAGGAGGCAGCTTTGAATGTGGAACAGTCTGAAGCATATGGGGCTCAGCAATCTTCTTCAGCGCCTACAGACAAAGCCTGACAGGGAGAGAGCTCCAGGGACCTGCAAACAAAAGTATACTTCTCTCTACTCCCCAGAGAACACAACAGGCCTGATGTGGTTCAAGCGGGCACACTTCTTCATGTTTTCAGGCAGGAATTTATTTGCCTCAGCCATGTGTGAGATTGATCCTCACCAATTCTACCAGTTCTCTGGTTAGGTGGCTATTAATGGCTGCACTGTGTCTATTCAAATGACAGGGAGGAGCCTTCAGTCCTAGGATCACAAAATGTGATCTCACTTTAAAGAAGTTATCCAGGCACTAACCTACCACAACTGGTGTCCTTACAGGGGGGACTTAGGACACAGAATACCCCACATGAAGGTCATGTGAAGAAAGTAGAGAATGGAATAATGGTACTCCAAGCTAAGGAACTCCAAGGATGGTCAGCCACCACCGGAAGCTGAGAGAGGCAGGTAGGATCTAGAGCCTTCAGAAGGAACAGAATGGGCTGACTCCCTCATCTCAGATTCCCATCTCAGAATAACAGTCACTATCTTGCTATGCACCCTTCTGTGGCAGCACAAGCAATCAAGTTATTGGTTACCAAGAATACTGGTAAGACTCGGCACTGACAGCAGAACGGATACCAGTCTAAAACTGCCCACAAGAGTGGCACTGTGGGGCACAGAGATGACACACAGGAACTGATAGGAACAAAGGACGACAGGTTCATCAACTTGAAAAAACAGAGCAGAGACAGACACCAAAAGAAAGACCATGTATATGTAACTAATAAAGGATTCCCAAAGACTATTTAATGTGTGGAGAAACCTTTCAACACCACAGAACTGGAGAAAGGTTTACAAGATTTTTCATTAGCATACATTAGTTGTACAAAGGATGTTTTATTGTGACATTTCCCTACATGGATACAATATACCTCATCAATCTCACCCCCCCCCCATCACTCTATACCACCTCCTCTTCTTAAAACAATTCCAACTGGTTTTATTGTTCTATTTTCACACATGCATATAAAGTACTTGAACTATATTCATTCTCATCTGCCCTCTCCATCCGCTCTCCTCCTTTCTTCTCAATACCAATCCCCACACTCACCAAGAGAGCTTGTTTTACTCTCCTGTCAGAGATGACTTCCACATATGGCATAGCCTTAGCTTCTAAGAAGAGGAAATGTATGTGAGCATTTATATATACATATACATGCGCATATTATATGTATATATATATATATATGTGTGTGTGCATATATATACATATATATCTGGAAGGAGGTTAAATCTTTGTGGGTATCTGATAGAAGATAACAAGGAATCTTCTTTGCATTTTGTTTGTTATTCAAATTCCCTACAATATTCAGGCATTTTAAGAACCAAGAGAAAAATAGCTGCTTTTAAAATATCTACAGGAGACAGTGATGTGCCCAGTGACCTAGGTACAGGAGTTGTGGAGGAGTGAGGCACAGAGAGATGGACTTGCCCAGCACCCAGGTGTCCCAGATCCTCCCATGTGTGATCTAAGATGTAGACATGCTTAAATGTGGAGAAAATGGTCTCTGAAAGAATAGGGTAGTAGTGGTCACCTATGCTTCCAGAGGGAACACTGGCAACTGGGAAGGAGAGATGTCCCCCTCCAAGACATTCCACACCTATATTACCATGTGAAAATAATCAAGGCAATCAAAACAAAGTAACTTCTCTCCCAAAATAAAGACCAACATGGCCCTGGCACTTGATAGAGGTCTGGGATTAGGCCCAAAGGCTCCTGAAAAATGGAAAGAAGAGACAGCATGTAACAAGAGGGTGCCTCAGACAGCTGTGCAACACAGTAGACCACTACTACAAGTAACACTACATAGGCTCTGCTGCTCCAGAGAGAATTGGGGGACCTGGGAGTGCCAGCAGACACTGCTCTCTTGGTGGGGGCTGTGGTCACAGGGGGCCAGCTTAGTCTGTCTTCCCGCTGTCCTCAGCAGCCCTAGCCCAACTTTGCATGCAGAGGCCCTGCAGCCTCCTTCCAGAGACACAGGAGAAATGCTCCTAAAACAGCCCTAGCAAGTTAGTTACGTGCTTTTTTTAGCACTCTGAATCCACATTCTCTTTAAATAAAGTTGATTATTTCCAGCCGACAGTATGTAAAAATAAGCATCCTGTCAAATGCAGGTGGCTCTGGGCCCCACCAAGCAAAAGTCCACGGCTACTCCTGCAGCTGTGGGCCAGGGAGGCGGGAGGCGGGGGATGAGCAGCAAAGCTTCAGCATCCAGGGTGGGAGGAAGACAGTGAGTCAGCAGCCAGGTTACAGATTTGGGAGCAGGTCTCAATACAGCTCCCACTCCTGAGGAGCTGGGACAACAGGGCTCTGAACAAGTTCCAGAAAAAAACACAGAACAAGTCCTGTAGCTTGACAAGTGCCTCAGGCCACAGGCTCTGCTCATTTCCTTGGAGACAGGCTGGCTTTGGCTGCTAAACCTTTCCCAGCAGATGGGTCTGCCCAGCAAGCCTGTGTGCGGCTGAGTGGGGCAAGCCAGGAACCAGAGTCACCTGCTCAGTTGGGTACTTGGTGGCACTGTTGTATGGAGTCACCTCCATGCTGATGGACTGAGACCCAACCTACCTGGTCAGCCTGTCTGAGCACAGCCACTGGGCAAAAAAAAAAAATCCCCTCTTGGGCTGGGAAGGTGGCTCGGTGGTAGAGTGCTTGCCTTGCATGCCTAAGGCCCTGGGTTTGATTCCTCAGCACCACATAAGCAGAAAAAGCCGAAGTGGCACTGTGGTTCAAGTGGTAGAGTGTTAGCCTTGAGCTGAAGAGCTAAGGAACAGTGCCCAGGCCTAGAATTCAGGCCTCACAACCGATCAAAAAAAAAAAAAACCCACAAAAACAAAAACAAAAACTTCTCCTTCCACTTTTTGTTAGTTTGCTTTTGTCTTGCTGAGGATTGAATGCAGGACCCTGTGCATGCTAGGCAAGCATTCTATCACTGAGCTATACCCCCTAGCTTCTCCTCTGATTTGCTATTCAAAGATTCTGACACAAGCCTGGGTGTCAATCAGCAAGTGGCAAGTATGAGTAATAGTGAATAAAAGGAGACTGAAGCCCTAAAGATTTTTATCCAGGAAACTAAAGCCCTAAACACAATGGCTTTATAATCAGTGGGACCACAGGTGCTATCCTCAAGCTACTTTCCAGATAGAATACATACAGCAGACATTTCCTAGCTGACACAAGGGGGCTGGGGATTGGCTCCCCCATGGCACAATGAGGTGTGGAGCTGGAGTTCAATGTCTGGTGTTTGGCTTGGGTTGCTAGGCCCCGCCCTCACTCATTCCTTCATGCTTCTTGGAACAGATCAGATTCACCCTGTAAATATTCACACTCACTCTGTGCATTCGGGTGGAAAGACCACTGCTTCTGTGCATAGCTGAAAACGTTCCTCACCCTTGCAGTCCTCAGTCACCCAGACATGAATCTAATCACACTTTGCCACCTATGTGGACTGCAATGTCACGCCCTCCCCCCCACAACCACTGGGAAGAAGCATCACAACACATGTTCAGTTTGCACAAACATGCTGTGATATGACAGTCTGTGCCCCCATACACCTGAATCCATATGTTAAATCCTAGCCTCAACCTGATGGTATTAGGAGGCAGCCAAACTGTGGGAGGTGATTAGGTCATGGGGGTAGAGCCCTATGAATCAGTATCCTTCCTGAAGGGGCCTCAGAGAGGCCCCTCCCTCCTCCTACCATGTAAGGACACACAGAATGTAATATCTATAGGCGCATGTCCTCATCAGACACCTAGTCTGCGAGGAACTTGATCTTGAAGTTCAGACTCCAAAATCATGAGAAATAGATTTTTGTAAGCCACCCAGTCTATGGCATTGACTTCTCTAGAAGTCTTCACAGACTGAGACAGAGTAGGTGCCTATGTGTGGTATGCATCTGTGTTTGGGTAGTACGTGTGTGTATGCAGGCATGCCTGCTGGCATGAGGGTAAGGGAGAAGTCCTCTGCACTCACCATCTCTCTTACCCAGTTCTTTCTCCTCCCATTGACCCTGTGGGACCCAA